AGCTCTCAAGACATTGCGAACGGAATAGAAAGTTGAGCTATAGTTCTAGGCATTCGTCGCTAAAGAAAGTAAGGTGCGCGGTCTGGATGGCAGGAGAGGGGCCAAATACAACTCAAACACCCACCATCAACTCAAATGGAGCATTGTGGCACTAAAGAAGGTTGACACAAACGAGTAGGCCTAAACTGGGGAATGGCAGCTCGAACCGTCAATTAGTCACTCGTGTGGCCCTGCAAGGAAGATAAATATTCAGACATTTAATTTACTATTTATGCAAGGTCAAAGAGAGCTGCTGTCCCGTGCATGCATTTCTATACAGTAGTGATATACCAATCCTCATTAATAAGACACGTTTTTTGGTTATTGGTGATGTTCGAACATTTCGCGCCCCATGCATATAGGAGAAAAACCTTACCGAAATGACGGAAAACTCATTTGCAGCGAAAGCTGTTATGAGATCACATGAATCGCGTGCGGCACCGTCTAGTTGTCTGCCGCCGCCGGTGTCCGTAACCACTATCACACGAAATAAAATAATGATAGTAAACAAAACATTAAAAACTCCGCACTATTAGAACCCGAGTTCCATGCATGCCAGCCCAGTATTCCACCCCTGAGCCACGCCGGTGCTTGAAATTCTGTTGCAAAATGACCTTTTAGGCAGGCTTGATGTCGGGAAAGCAATCGCGTTAGTAGGAGTAATAAAGCGTTTCCGAAGAGCAATGGAACAGCCAGGCGTCCGACAATGCGAACTGCATAACGACTAGGTCGTCCAATGCTCCAACCCATCACAAAAGCTATCGAGTTTAGATCACCTATTAAGTGTGGCGCATACCCGCTTCAGGCCTAATTATTCATCGTCGTCCGCCACTGCAATGAAAATGTTTTGCTCAACGTTTCTTGCAAGTGTGTAGAGGATGCCAAGCTTCTCAAAAAAAATGACAGTCAGTGCCGGCTTATATACCCAAGAATTATGATTATTTATGGCGTAGTGGGTACCCAGCGAGTGTACTTGCCGCAGTTACTCAAAGAGCGCTTAGTAAATGCTCTGAAAGGGCGCTCTTCCAGCTTTTGCTGTGAGTGTACTGCGAGTTCCACACAGGCCTGGCGTTTTTTTTTTTTTTCTCGCTCATCTTCTGGAGCTTCTTTTTCTGAATAAAACGGTAACATTACTTCAACGAAATAACATTTCCTCATTTTTGTAACTGCGTAAAAATTTATCGCGTGCATGTTATCACAGGTGGCATTTCAATGGAAGGTGAGACACAGCCGGAGGAGGAAGAGTAAACTCTGTTGAAAAAAGACAGAGAATCGGGGCCATGTTGCATCAAACAACACACCTGCAGTGGATATAGTGGTCATTGATTCCGCGGCGGGCGTCTTTTCGTTGATGACGAGTACAGTCGTCATTGATCCCTTACTGTTGGGAAATCTCATGATGACAGTACACTCGTGCACAGTCGCGGAATGGTTAAAACTGAGCATTCATCAAATTTTGGTGTGCATTTGCAATCGAGACAGATAGTGCAACGAAAGATTAGACGGTGATCTTTTATTCGGCGACCTTTTCTGCTCAATTCACCTCTAATTAAAGCAACAGCATTTCTGTATGGGCCTAGAAGCGCACCCACCAGTACGGTACCGAGTAAATTTATCGGTGTGTATTACAGAACGCATCCCTGTCCGTCTTTCGTATTCCACCTGCTCGTTCCTCTCCTGCACGGCGGTGCATATCCCGCTGCCTTATTAGCACCCGTAAAAACAACGTTATACTCCGCGTCTGATTGTTTAGCCGGTATCATAAGGAACAAGCGATTATCGTCTTGTTTTTTATTGCTTTCTGGGGCCGTATTCGCTCTTATATATGGTTCAAGTCCTCAGAGCACACACATAATGAACGTGTTTGTTTTGTTATGAATAAAGTGGAACTGCGCATCTATTTGATCAAGCATAGTGCCGTCATCGGTCACAGCAGGCCCAATCAAGAAAATAAAGATATGCTTCTGTCCTTCCTTCCTCACGGTATAGAAACAAACTGGCCCACTAAAGGACTTTTTATGCCGGCATTATGTTATAAACTGCAGTATAAATATCTGGGGGTTTAAGTTCCAAAACAAGATATGATTATGTAAGACGCCGTAGTGGAGGGCTCCGGAAAACAAGGGCGTCTACCATTTCGCCTCCACCGAAATGCGACCGCCGCTGTCGGGATCGAACCCGCAACCTTCGGCTTAGCAGCCGATCACCGTAACCACCGTGGCTTTTTCTAATTAATTGTTTGGCTTATTATCACAAAATACACAACGCACAAGAATTCATGTGTCGGAATTCTTCATTTTTGAAGACACATACATGTACATTCTAAAAACGGGACCTACAGCTCGTTCCGTGCTCATAGTTAGTAGTATTTTACTGGTAATAATTTATCAAGCGTGTGCAACCCTTGAAGTGGCTCGGAATGTTCACGTAACACACTTCTAACGCGTAGCAAATATTCATTTAAATACACCTTTGCAGGTTTTGGATCTTGGTACTCATGCCTGAAATCTATTCTAGTTTTACACACGCTATGCATAGCGATGAGCCTCATCCGGTCACATGACACGTCATCTGCTGGTTCGCATGACAAGTGACGAATACTGAATGGCATAAGAAGAAAGGCTTTTTTTGTCTACCTCCGAAGGGCATCCCACGGTCCACCATGGCAGACTGTGCTATTGCTCTCGATATACTGAAAAGCGTACTACATTTATATTATTCAACGACTTGTGTTCGTAACACTGCATTCCGGCTTTTAATAAGTCATATTTCACATTATGCGGCCGTCATAGAGCTTAATAAATTTAAGTTCTGGGGTTGCCAAAACTACGACCAAATCATAAATTACGTCGTAACGTTGGAAAATGGTAACTACGAATGAATCTTGATCCCCTAAAATGATTCAACAAGCAATTGAACTTAAGCACATGGATGTTACTGCATTTTGTCTCCACTATAGAATGCGGATGCCCGGACCGGGAGTCGAAACGACGAACTTATTCTACGCGCCACCGTAACCACTGAGCCATCATAGAGAACCAAAAAGCTTGCTAAGAGAGAGAAAAAATCAAAGGAAACGCCGGGAGGTTAACCAGGTTGCACCCGGTTTGCTACCCTACACGAGAGAAGGGGGAAACGGGAGGAGAAGAATAAGTAAGCAGAGATTGATTGATTGATTGATTTGTAAGGTTTAACGTCCCAAAACCACCATATGATTATGAGAGACGCCGTAGTGGAGGGCTCCGGAAATTTTGACCACCTGAGGTTCTTTAACGTGCGCCCAAATCTGAGCACACGGGCCTAAGTAAGCAGAGAAGGAAAGAGAGAAGTTATAAAATATAGCACGCACAGCAGCACGTGTACCACGCACCCCCGGAAGGTCATAAAACTGCGAGCAGTCACAGATCGGATCGACTTCGACTGTCTTACATGATGTGCGCTGCAATACATGATGTCGAAGAAGGCTTCCAAGGGCTGACTCCAAGGTATCCAAAACGCAGTGCGCATCGAGCTGATGGGGTTGTCAATCCGGTGAGGAGTGTGTGCATTGTGCTAATCAATGACCTCAACCCAGTGATGACACGTAGGTCCTCGTCGTAGAGATATTTAGCAGAATCTTGTGTCGTCTCTCTGTGGACGCGCCATGGTGGTACATCCGCCGCCACCTTCATCCCATCTGCCTATTTTTAGCGCTCGTCTTTATCGCTCGTATTTTAGCACCCGTATTTTAGCAACAGTAAGAAGTTGGTTGGTGGTGGGGGCGCAGGCAGTAGTCGTTGCTGTCAGGAAAGATAAGGCTGGTGGTCCACTGGATTATGACATCGCGGTAATTGTCCAGATAGGGCAGGATACTCCTAGACAATCGGTGTTGACGGGAACGTTGTTTTCGCTTTCAGGTAATATTCGCGGCTTCTGAGCTATCCCTTACCATCAGTTTTATAGCGCTACCTTCTTTCTTCACTGCCGGACAGTCTCGTCATGAAGCTTCATGTGACCTGTGGCAGTTGGACATTTCAGAATTGTTGCTCGGCAAGACTGCGCGCTGTAGGGCTCTGCACATCTTGGGCAAACCACCAAGTCCCTGCGAACTCCGCTAACGTGACCCATTTTCTTATACTTGTGGCACTGTAGTGGTTTCGGTGTAAACGGACTAACCACGTGTCAAAAGTTCCGAAGGCCTTAAAGCGAACGCAGTCATTGATATAAAGGGGGCTGCTGATTATTACAAATATGTAAAGGAGCTCATATTTCTACTTATCTCAACGTTCCTGATAATAAATGGAGCTGAAGTTAGTATATGAGTTAAGAAATTAAGCTCAGTATTTTGCATGATTCGATAGATTTATGAACACCAAATAAGAAACTCATGTTCACAAATATATTGTTGACGAAATTCACATCACTCTTTCTGACTGCGTAACAGAAAAACCTAAAAGTATGGCCGAATACATGGGCGTTGACAATAGAGCGAAAAACGTGCCTTTGCCCCCGCTCCCCTCCCCCCGCTAAGCCACAACTGCACTGGCCTCACGCCCAAGTCATACAAGCCCTTCTCCACCACCACAAAGAAACACGGTTTCGAACCCACCAAGACGAAATCCTGCCGGTCGAAGTCCATGGCCAAGTGAAAATATTGTGGCATCTTATAAAAGCGCGTTACAACAAAAGCAACATAAAAACAAGTTTCAAAAAGCCTAAACGATGTGGCGAAAAATTATCGCGCGTGTAGGAAACCACTTGTTTATTCGTTGGCGTTTTGACTCCGGGTGCACTCGTCGATGTCTGCAAAACGGGTGCTTTTGTCAGCCCACTCGTGATGTTCGCGAAAGTTGCGCTGCTAGCCCAACAGGACAATGCAGAATATGCAAAGAGCAGCGCTCGAGCTCCAAGAGTGTGTGCGCAAGGCGCCGATAAAGGCAAACCACATCGGCAAAGTGCGCTCTTCAGAACGTGCACAGTACTAAGCCATCAGAAGCCGCACTCGGGAGCCATGCAGCCGCTAGCACTCCTAAGCACCACGCTATGCGCGGTGCTATTGGTGAAGTTTTCCAACGCATCTAAGCAACTCAAGTGAGACCATTTGCACCAGTCCTGCATATCTCGATGTGTTTTGAGGTTGTTGAAACACTTAATTAACTTCGAACGTTTTATGTAGTGATGCCATTATTGCATGCCATTTAGCCCCAGAGTTGCCAGTGTTTCGTTTTATTAGTAACTCACCAATGCGAGCCATTTTCAAGAGTTTCAACGTTGCTGCAAGCGCGAGTGGAGAAACCTGATGCGCCGCTGGGGTGCGTGCAGGAAGCCTGCTTGCGGAACTCTCAATTCGAACTGAAAATATCGAGAGAGGCAGTGCCGCTCGAAGTGCTAAGCGCATGCACTGCAAAAGTACTCAACACTTACTGACATTCTGTCTCGGTTCATATGCTGCTCGCAATTAAACCGGCTTCATCGTACTCTGCAGCGCTCAATGTGGTATATAGTACGTTGCGACGTGAGATCTTCGACGTTATTCGCTCTGTGAAAATATAAAGATTCCTATAGCCATTCCCTCAGAGGGAGCAACTTCAACCTATTTTGTCAGTCACACTTGAACCTACTTTGTCACATTCTGATGAATTAGGAGAACCTCTCAATAGTTTCCAGATGTTTCACTGGACAAAGCCATCTGAAGAACCGGAACACCTCGTGAACCTATTTCTCGTGCAAGGACAGTCCTTCCACATAAATGTTTTGCAACTCTCGTAAACCACGCAGTTACAAGTAATCCGCCGAGCAACCATTTGTTTGCATGATTTTATCGTTCTGTACACGCCGTTCTTTTAATGTGTTCAAGCACATTTATTTTTCGGCACCTGTCACTTCCATATAGTCGCATGTGCTAGCAGAAATTGCAGCAAAATGAGCGATGCAGTAGAAACGTCTTTTCTAAAGGATCGTACACACGAATACAGGTTGTGAAGTCTTATACATATTCGCACAGTAGATACCTTTTATTTGAATGCTGCATTTTCCCATCTCGTGTCGAAACTACTACAATTTTAGTCGTTGAGCTGGACTACTCTATGAGATTAATCTCACCTGCATTAGGAATTGAGGAGGAGGAGGAAGAAGAGGAGGAAGAGAGAAGACAGGGAGGTGAACCAGGCACATGTCCGGTTGGGTACCTAAGGCTGGGGGAATGGGAAAGGGGAGTATAAAAATGAGAGAGAGAGAGAGAGAGAGAGAGAGAGAGAGAATGGAAAAGACGAGACAATTGTCAGTAAATGGGCTGACGTGAATGCGTGGGGACCCTATAAAAAAGTCAAAACCCGTAATTCTCAGAAAGCGTAAGAGGTCTTTGACTGCCTTGTGAGCTGACCTAAAACAAGGAAGGTGCTCCAGCAGCATGTGCACGGAGAGTGGCCGATCGTCCAGTTGTCGCAACGCGTCAAAGTTTTCGCCTCTCAGAGGCAAACCTAGAGCAACGTCATAGCAGCGTGGCATGAGAAATGGAAATGGATATCTTCTGAAATGAAGAAACTGAAATGGAGATTAGCGTCTTGTAATATATGTTGCTTACCTAATTAACGACTGAATTTTTCGACAGTGTGCTATACAATTTACGAATTTTCTCCGGTAAGCTCCGAGCCATACACTTGGGCACAAATTCTCAAAATGACAGCATTTTCCATATACGCACTCCCATCTTCAAGTAGTCCATATAGTGTAGATTGGTATTCTGTCATGGTCCTGATTTAATTATAGAACGTTATGTCTTGCTAGATTAAAGTTTTCCTTAAGTAATTCGGGGCATGTTTAAATGCGGGTGCCTGATGGCTTTCTTTAGCTTCTTTAAGAGCACCTGGTATTTGCAGAATTCCTCTGGTTTACGTTGGCCTCAACAATACTTACTTGGGAAGGTCGCCTGTGCCGGAACCTCTCAGCTGCGACGAAGCCGTAAGTATCAAGGCCACGAAACACTACGCGCTACAATGCGAAGATAAAGAGTTGCGTCACGACCCAAGCCTTGAAGTGATTAGTATTGATGTTATCGAAGCTTTGGGCAGTCATGCTTATGCGTGCAACAATATCCCTTCCGACCGTGACACGGCCTCAATCAACTCCTCTATATAGAGCTTATACCGCTTGTAGGCTATAGTATAATTGAGTAAGTTTTTCTCCTTTTCATGCACCAATGAGGATTTGTAACTATAGTTTTTGTTTGCCATATCTCAATTTCTTTATCGGTTCTGTTACTTTCGCTCATTTTCTTATATTGGCTCGAAAGAACCTAGACAGCCTATGTCAGTGTGATGAACGAACTTTCGCCGTTACACACACACACACACACACACACACACACACACACACACACACACACACACACGCGCGCGCACACACACACACACACACACACACACACACACACACACGTGGCTTTGATAAGGAAAAGAAGAGAAAAGTGCAGCCCGTAACTGTCTCTCCTTACGAGGACACCTCAACAGGCGGCACAGAAATGGAGTATCTTTTATTCCCCTTGGAAATAAAAGATTGCACAAAAAAATAAGGAAAATAAGGCTCATTCGATCCACCTCCCTCAGCGCGCGCCGAAACCACCGCCATGCTCAGTCGACTGGTAAAGCTACCAAGGAGGCCGGGAAAGATATTCACCGAAGAAAAAGCATTAAAGGGCCAGAGGACGCATAAAGCTTGAGGGCGCGATGCACTCGCCGGGGCGCGTAGCTCAAACACAAAAAAATCACAGCATATCCAAGGAGTGAAAGATTATGAGCGGGGCAAAGCGTCCGCACGTCCATCCGTGCTTCTGTCGGTCCGTCCGTGCGTCCATCCATGCGTCCATCCATGCGCCCGGTCGCGCGTCCGTCCGTTTGTCCATGCTTCCGCCAGTCTGTCTTTTTATCTGTCTGTCTGTCCATCCGTCCGTCCATCAGTCCATCTGTCTGTCTGTCTGTCTGTCTGTCTGTCTGTCTGTCTGTCTGTCTGTCTGTCTGTCTGTCTGTCTGTCTGTCTGTCTGTCTGTCTGTCTGTCTGTCTGTCTGTCTGTCTGTCTGTCTGTCTGTCTGTCTGTCTGTGCGTCCGTGTGTTCATCGGTCCGTGCATGCGTCTAACCGCGTTCGAGAATGCAGCCGGCGCACGGGTAACACCGACGAGACGCGAGCCAAAGAAGCCGAGCGCAAGCGTCTTCAACGCGCCCGCCATTCTGCTTCGTCCATGTCCCACCAACAATCCGCCACGTACAGTGGCTAGCTATCCAGTAGACTGGAGGAAGTACTCCTTCCTCGCGCACCCAGGCACAACCCGCGCAGCAGGCAATCGGAGAGTAGCCATACAGCGCCATCTAGAATATCCTCACTCAACCGCGGTTCACATGTACTAAGAGACAGCGCCGTCCATTATAATGTTTACTGTTCGAAAGATACTGCCTTCCTTTTTTTCTCATCTCTTCTCTCGATTACACAACACGCAGGACAAGGTTAAACTAAAAGGAGCTTTGCCGCTAAAATGTAGCACTCAGGGAAGTGAATCCTGTTGGACTCGATATGTACGTATGCATTGCTGGCCGGCAATATCCCTGGTGCAATGGCGTCATGTGTGGGAAGAGCTATGGCACATAATACGTGAACCGGAGAGTCAGTCGGCAGAAACACCAACACAGCACGTAAGGCCGCAGCGAGTGCGGTCAACACCGCATCGTTTGGTTCGGTGGTGACAGTCGGCGCGCTCGTATGAGCGTAAAAGCGGGCGGGGTGGTGGTCGATATTGTTGGATGAGCCGGCGTACTCGAGGGAAGGTGTGCGGGTGTCGCCGATGTCGTTCGGCCGCTACCGGAGAGAGTGTCGCGGAACAAGCAGCCCTTCTAGACCGCCGCACTGTCCAGCTTGTCGGTGTTGTTTACAGCCGTCCTGGTGTGCTCCAGCGCTCGGCGGCGCGTCACAGAGCCATATCCGAAGAGGCGAGTGTGACGGCGGCCTTGCGCTGAACCTGCCAGGACGAGTAGCGTGGTTCGTTCACTGCATGGTTGCCCTTGCAGGTGAGGAAGAATGGGTGTTCTGTGGTCCACGGGACCTCGGGATGGCTGCCGCCACAACGGATGCAGCGCTCGTCACGCGAGCACGTATAACAGTGGCATGGCCCTATCGACCGCAGTGGGCACATCGAAGGGGCCGTGGGAGACGAGCACGGACAGGCCTATGAAGCTTGAATATTGACACCTCCGGTGGTATGTAGTGCCTTTGAAGGTCAGTGTGAGACACCGGCCTTGACGGGCGCAGAACACGGCAGGCACGGCTGATACCAGGTTGGCCGCGATTTCGTCTGGGCGAATGTTCGCGTCAACACCATAGATGATGCCCGCGCAGGAGTTAGTGACGAGAAGTTTCGACTTCACTTCGATGTCGAAACTTCTGTGCACTTGTAAGAGTGTGAAGGGTCTTATGAGGGACCGATGTCCACGGCAATGATGTTGCGTTGAAGTTGACATGGACACGCCGAGTAGTCGGGATTCCAGCGAGGAATGCCACGATGGCATCACGTGACACAGCAAGAAAGTTGCATTTCTTTCCTTACTGGTCGAAAGCGGATGGTGCTGCCGTTTTTTCCACTGTTGCATAAGAGGCCTGAAACTGTGTTTTGGGCACCAAGGATTTGACGGTGGCCAGGTTGGGGGGAAGAGGGGAGGTAAGAAAACCGAACGCAGGCGCTCCAGTTGCCGCCCACGTCGCGTCCGAAGTGGCAGGAGGCGACGAGGGTAACGTGCGGTGTTTCCAGGAGGAACAGGAGGCGGGCGAAGCTTCCATCTCCGATGTTGTCGTTTGAGGAGTGCCTGGTACGCTATTTTCCTTGCGCGCCTGCGGCCAAGCTTTGCTGTTCAGCGATAGCCAGCGGCTCTTGCTGAGCTTGTCAGTGCGACTTTGTCAGCTTCAAGGACGTGAGTTTCCGTGTCCTTGGCTTTCGATTGCTTAAAGATGCATTCTTCTGCATCCATTCTAGGAATGTTGTTCCCTCGTTGGGCCGGTATCTGAGGACGGGGGGTCACATCTGCAGCCCTGAGAAGGGCTGCGCGCGCAGAAGCGTGTAGTCGGTACGAAAAAAAAAGGACTGGGCAGTGGAAAAAAAACAACCATCTCCCTTGAAATCTCAACTCGTTGTCTCACTATACATACGCGTACAACGCTAACCTAGCGACTTGGAGTATGTGAGTCCTAGGCAAACATATGCAGCTTAAATTCTGTCTTTTTCTCAACATTTTCTTCTTACTGCGATAGCAATTCAATAGACACTCTCGGCTGGATGTTGCCGCCGGCGTCACTCACCGTATATGTATACGAATCTCTCTCTCTCTCTCTCTCTCTCTCTCTCTCTCTATATATATATATATATATATATATATATATATATATATATATATATATATATATATATATATATATGTGTGTGTGTGTGTGTGTGTGTGTGTGTAAACGCAAGGAAGGAAAAAAAAACAGAAAAAGACTGTGGCGCACGGAGTCGAACTTCAGACATCTGAATCGTGAGTGCGAGGCATTAACCACTGGGTCACAGAGGAGCACCTCCTTCACGATTCAAACGGCAAGATATCTATACCTACCACTTCCCGCTGCTGACGACCACCCCGCGGGGAAGTATGTTTTCAGCATTACCAGCAAGCTGGCGCAATGAGCGTGCGTCGCCACATCGTCATGACGCGGTGGCGCGCACTGTCATCTCCCACGCGTACTTTGCACCGCGGAAAGGGAGTAGGGTGGACGCTAACGCACGCGCTTATCTCGCGGTGGGAACAATCGTACGTCTTGGCTGGCCTTGGACTTTCACCGGAACAATTTTGCTTTAGTTACCGGGCGCACAAAGGTCACTGCAATCGTTGCACAGTCTCTGTTTGCGAAAAGGGCGCGGTTTTGAGACACAGCGAAGTAACAACTGAGATGCTTATTCGTGTTTATATGTACCTGTGAGTACGTTTCGCGCGTCATTTGTGCGTGAGAAACGAGGGGCACGTTTCGATCTGCTTGCAATTCTGCGTGTGGTCTTCCAATTTGTTGCTGTTGCATTCATTGATTTGCCTTTGGGGCAAAGCTGTGATTTCTTTGCGTTCTGCTAGAAAAAAGGTGTCTGACGTTACACGTACACAAAGATATACTACAATTTCTGCAAAGTTTCGTTACGCCCCGTTAATTTTTTCGAGCTTTATAAAACACGTGGTGTGTACACGAAAAACTGCGTGCGTTTTGCTAAGTTGCGTAAGTCTGTGCGACGTAATAATTTGCATTTGTTTTCATTTCCTTACACGACGCATCAATCATAAAATTGGAAACTTTAGCTAGTTTGTGTGCGTTCAATGCGTGGCTCACTGTACAGTTAAACTATATGGACCTGATTTTCCTAATAGAAAAATGAAGCTTATCTAGAATGGACATATGTATCCACGAATGTAAAGAGAGAGTGAGAGAGAAAAAAAAGAAAAAATGCACTTTGTCGTGACAGTATGGAGCTTGTAGTGTTTTCTCGACCAAGTGAAACAGCCATCAGGGAAAAAAATATTCGGCAAGTACCATCACACACAATTAAATTTGCGTACCGATGCAGATCTGATGTTTCGTTATAAGGAAACATTGTGGACATAGATATGCATGATATTCTGGAGAACACGTGAATTTGAATTTGCTATCACGCAAAGTCTCCAACCTATCACCGACGCAAATATGACTTGTGCACTGCTAATGTCAGGTAGCGTATGGTGAAATAACAAGGCTGTTTAAAAAATAATGAACTCGCATCAAAGGGATTCCTATAACAGCACGTTGATCTAGACATGCTACACAGTGTTTCTGATATAATTCACCGGCTATTATACATTCATCTTTTTCCTATCCTAATCTGGCATATAGATGAGAATGAATTAAACCGTTTTTTTATTCATCAGCTCACTTCATCCATTCGTTGATAAAGTATAGATCTAAGCAGTGTCCGCAGACGTGTTTTATATGCTAGCACGAGCGTGACGTATATTAAACGTGACGTGGCGTTATGTTGTGTTTACCAGACACCTAACAACAACGTATAAAGTTGCTCTTCTCGCGTTCTCATACAATGTAGAAGTGCACAGAAGGCATCTCGCGAATTCACACTAGTCTGTGAGAAAAGTCCAAGGCTGTTGATAATGCGAAGATTGATGCTACGTACATGAAGTTATCTGTCCTTTCTAGAAACGTGCGTAAGAATATATAGGAATAGCACAAATTAACCCCCACCCCTCTTTTACAACAGATGCGGTACGTCGGCGTGGTAACCTTGGGCACACCACCGCAATCATTCAAAGTACTCTTCGACACGGGCTCGTCAAACCTGTGGGTGCCATCGAGCAAATGTGTTGACTCGAACATCGGTTGCTGTAAGAAGTTGTCTTTTCTTCTGATACCTTCTTGCACGTCACATAATGACCTGCAAAAGCCAGCTGTTAGGTTATGGCGAAGATGGCGCGCAAAGATTTCGCGTTTCAAATTACTCGTTCACCATTTTGATCATATTAGGTATCAGCGCCTTCTTTCCAATACAAAAAAGTTCATCTGCTTCACGTTAAGGCCTGCGTTATACATGTATACTCACAGGTGTAAACGGGAAAATTTAGGGCTAAGTAACGCCCATACTTTCATTTGCACCGTCTTCTGGTTGAGTCATATCAGCGTAATTTCGCTCCGAACGACACGCAGGGCTCATGAGCATCGGCAGGGAGCTGCAAAAAGGGCACTTGTCACAGCCCAAGCTACACCAGCACCATCCCCTTCTCACATCCGCGATGCGACATGGGTTTCTACCCCGATGACAGCGTCAGGCCGACGCCCATGATAGAGACAACATTACCTCTAGAGACCTGATTCTTCAAGACATGACATGCATCTCAATCAATGCCGCATACCAGTCGTTAACTAAACATTTTAATTTCGCGTTTGAATCCGTGAATGTTGTATGTACAAGCCTGCAAATGCATTCTTCAGCGTTTTGAAGGAGACTTTCGGGACACCAGCAATTGAGACTGACTTGATGGTTTGAATGTAATGAAGTGTGTTAGTGAGTGTGCCCTTGACTGATGATCGTACAGCGCTAAAATGGGGATATACGGAAGCAGTGCTTCACCCTGTCTTGTTTTATTATTATTAATTATATCAAAATGTTATAAAGAGAGGTTGGCGCGCAAGCACCGGCTACTCCTTATTTATTGAATGGGCCGGACTTACTAGACACAGGGTAAAAAGACATCAAAATTATTTCTTTCTTTTGGCTGTTTGATGGCTTGAATGTAGAAGTGAAAACATTTAATTATCTGCGGGATCTGCCATTGCGTTTCCATGGAGCCACACACATTCTTTCTTTGACCGTGTGAGTGTTATGCCTGCCACCAGGACGAGGCCTTGCGCATGCGTCTCCTTTCTTTATTGAGTGACCGATGCAATTACCATCACACCCACTTGAAACCCACCGCGGTGATCTGGTAGTTTTGGAACTAGACTGCTGACCCGATGGTCGCTGGGTCGAATCCCAGCCACAGCAGTCGAACTTCGATGGAGGCGAAAGGCTAGCGGCTAGTGTTTAGTTTTTGGTGCGCACTTTGAAGTGGTCGAAATATCCGAAGCTCTCCACTGCGCTTCCTTCATAACCATATCGTGATTTTGGGACACGACGGAGAGGTTTATTGCGCCAGTAAAGGCGAGAGATCGGCCTAATCACTTGTGTGAACTGCTACTCAGCGTTAGGAAAGGGGCAGAGAAAAGAGGAGAGAGAAAGCACTGATAATATTTAAGCAGGGCAAACGACAGGACAAGAGCTGGACACTACGAATGCTTCTTGATGATGATGATGATGATGATGATGATAATGAGGATGTTGATGATGAAGAAAAATCTTTGCCCGAAAACTATTTACAATAACTTCTGTAGTTGCATCTCGCGGAAAAACTTGCGCAGCGCTTCCAGAATAATACTGCTCTGATGAGAAAGTACAAGTCCTACCAGAACTTTTTTCGATACTTGTTTCTTCATAAGATTTCGAACTCTTGAACCGTCCATCATCTTACAAAAAGAAAAGAAAAAAAGAAATCAAGTACCCGAAAAGTTTTCTCTCACATAGACCCTCACGTGTGCCAGACAAACTTGCGCTGATAAGTTTTCCTTTGTTGTTGTTGTACACCTCATAGCCGCAGCTGCACGCCTTTTTCTTTTAGTCAGCGTTCGCAGTGTCTTCTCTCTTGTGTACGTGTTTGCACGCCCTGTCTCTTTAATATGTCAAGTATTTGAATGTTTCATTGTACAGTGGCATATTAGAGCGTGTACATAACTATTGACGTTTCAGATAAAGCACCATTTATCATGGATGCTCGAGAGTTGATGTCTGCTGGCGCATTTCTGTTCTGTCCGGACAGCTAATGTCCGTAGTATTTGAAGCAGCGAATATGCACCTGAACACTGTGAACAAACAATAGAGTACGACGCAAAATCAATGCTTTCAACCTCGGCCAGCGGGCGCTGCGCCACACTCGTTTCACCACCTTTTTAGCAAAAGACAGTCGCCCCGCCGCGGTGGTCTAGTGCAGGTACTCGGCTGCTGACCCGCAGGTCGCGGGATCAAATCCCGGCTGTGGCGGCTGCATTTTCAATGGAGGCGAAAGTGTTGTAGGCCCATGTACTCAAATTTGGGTGCACGTTAAAGAACCCCAGGTGGTCGAAATTTCCGGAGCCCTCCACTACGGCGTCTCTCATCATCATATGGTGGTTTTGGGACGTTAAACCCCACATATCAATCAAGCAAAAGCCGGTCACTCGGTACCCCGCTCCCGCCTTCTGCCTGCGCTATCTCAGCACGTTCACGCGCTCTGCACGCGCTGTTATCTGGTCGCCCTCCACGTGCAGCGTCACCTGTGGCTTGCTGCGAAGGTTTAAAAAGATTATAAAAACGTTTTCACGGTGAGAGTCTTATCAGAACCGAGAGCGATTCATTGACAACCTTTGCGGGATCAAGCAAGTCAAACACGATGTCTTTGAGCGATAGCTATGTTAATGTTGATCGTTGACAGCTGCCTTTCTATGACATTAAAAGTGATGTCACGGCGCGAATTCTATATGTATGTTACCGAAAAACGCGCATTTGCTGGGGCAATCGCGTCTTCTCGGAGGTGTCAGCAAACTACCACCACGATTTCGCGTGCATTTGTATATAGCGTTCGGATTTCTCTTGCTTGAATGTCCAGTTTGTCACGCGGCTTTCAATTAAGTAGGAGGTCACTGTGAAGAGACTGAACTTACGTCCGCCCTGTCCAGTCCCTGGCACCATTTTAATACGGTGAGTTCAGTTTCAAAAGAGTTTCACTTTTGTCTAGGTTTTCATCGGATATTAATAAGGTCATGTCGTAAGTTCAATGACACTCTTGGTTTTTTGCAGCTCCTTTGAAAGTATAATAATGCACACCAAAAATAAGTATTTTATGTCCACTTCGACGATGCATGTTTCTTGCAGCGCATATTTCATTTCGGATAACATACACGCCTGATCACGCAGCGTGTTCACTGATTCGAATATCGATTAGATTGTTTTACAGCTCGATTGGTCGTCGTCATATCGCACAATAACCACTAAGATAGGGAATATTTTCAGTAACGGCAACATTTGCCCCTGGGTGCACGTTAAAGAACCCCAGGTGGTCTAAATTTCCGGAGCCCTCCACTACGGCGTCTCTCATAATCATATAGTGGTTTTGGGACGTTAAACCCCACATATCAATCAATCAATCAAGATTTGCCCCTGATAACTGCGTCTAATTCCGCAAAACCATCGAGATTTTTACATCTGCCTTGTTCTTTTTCTACTCGTTTTCATTGCGGTAGCTGTATCGTGCGCGGCGTGGGCACATGCAAGAGCATACTATTTTACGCGGCAAACCCATCATATCATCAGGAGGAACGCGGTGGATTGAGACTCCATATTGATTCCGGCCACCTGAGGTCTTTTTTTTTTAACATGCACCGAAATCTAAGTACATCTATACGGTGCGACGACAACGGACAGAGAGTGCACGCACACCAAGCGTCACTTCTGTTTACATTGAGCGCCGTACCACCGTGCGCTTGAAATATGAAACACCGACACGCCCTGTATCATTCTTGCACCAAAATCAGAGCGCACTTCTACTGCGTTTCGCTCCAGTGGAAACGCAACTGGCGAATACGGGAATCGGACTCGTGAGTTCAATCCTAGCCTCACAACACCTCATCATTCTAACTTATCAGTGGGTGTTGCTTGCAAGACCTGTGCGTACAAACGCTCTGCGCGAACCCGCAGCACAAATCCGTTTACACTGAGCGGCGACGAGAAGTCCACAGCCATCAGCTGACCAAAACACTTGCAGGGCTCACAGTACGGTATTTTAAGTGCATTAGGCTAGCAAGCTCCACCGCTTTCGCACGACCAATAGTTGTCTCGGAAAGCCAGAGCACAATGCGAAACGTACATTGGTTGTCTACTTGCTGTAGTTTTAGTTTACAAACACGCTTTCTTTTAATATGAGCCAGGCCATCGTGTTTCTTTCAGTTAATAGTTTGTAGCACTGTGCACGACAGAAAAAAAAAATGTCGCCCCGCCATGGTGGTCTAGTGGCTGAGGTACTCGGCTGCTGACTCGCAGGTCGCGGGATCGAATACCGGCTGCGGCGGCTGCATTTCCGATGGAGGCGGAAATGTTGTAGGCCCGTGTGCTCAGATTTGGGTGCACGTTAAAGAACCCCAAGTGGTCGAAATTTTCGGAGCCCTCCACTACGGCGTCTCTCATAATCATATGGTGGTTTTGGGACGTTCAACACCACAAATCAATCAACAGAAAAAATGTCGAAGTAACGAGACCACGGAGTATCGGCGAACTGTCATATTCCACTCTTGACACCTTTGCTTCTCGCACTGCTTGCACTGGAAACGACGGAACTTTATGGGCAGTTTGCAGGTCTTCGTCAAGTTTAAACTTTTGTAGCAGCTCACAATGCAGCAGTAGTGCGTGCCTGCTTTCCAGAATGACGGAGGAGCGCTGCGCATAGCGTGCGAAATGTATTTTTTTTTTTGCTAGCCCCAGCATTTCATCTGATGTTTATATTTATAAAGGCTCTTTGCCTATCACTACGGCAAAGTTTGCACTATGTTTTAGATATTCGCTTCAAATTTCAAGTGCTTGCAACTTGTATTTTTAGTCTGTGTATTGCTTGTTTTAACTATGTACAATGTGACACCACTCCTGTAATAAACCCATCACGGGATTGACAGTATTCTGGATAAATAAATAAATAAATAAATAAAACGCGAGATAAGCGCTCCAAGAAACAAGTTTTCCGTGCGCGCAATGGGAAAACCCAGCAAGCGCGGCCCGTCCGAGCGACCGGAGGTTTGCCATCTTTCCGCTAAAGCAGTGAACGGCACTGCCCAAACTTGAGCTTGTGCTTCCTATTGCTGTCATGAACCGGTGCGAGGGAAGCGTGTCGTTCGTATGCTGAACGTTAGGGAGCACTAGAATAATCGTGCGCACTGGCGCGCGAGTGGGTTCGTCACGTGGTATTTTTTTATTTCGAGGGCATTTGTAATTAGCAGGAAAACTAATACGTAACAAATATAAAATTCAAAACTGTCTAATCGGATGTTTTGCGAACCGGTCTACAACTTTCTCATTGGAAGTTTCTCATTGGAAGTTCGTTCCTTCAGCAGTTCGTTAACTAAACAGATTTAATTAAACAATATTTTAGAACACAAAAAATAGTCTGACTAACTTCAGGCAACCGTGAGCAACATGCATTTGATCGCGTCGTAATTGCGTGTGTCACAATATTTTTAAACTCTGGCTAAAGTTACCTGGGACACCTGCGTATAGTCACATTCCTTTAGTACCACCCCGCCGCGGTGGTCGAGTGACTAAGGTACTTGGCTGCTGACCCGCAGGTCGCGGGTTCGAATCCCGGCTGCGGCGGCTGCATTTCCGATGGAGGCGGAAATGTTGTAGGCCCGTGTGCTCAGATTTGGGTGCACGTTAAAGAACCCCAGGTGGTCAAAATTTCCGGAGCCCTCCACTACGGCGTCTCTCATAATCATATGGTGGTTTTGGGACGTTAAACCCCACATATTAATCAATCAATCAATTCCTTTAGTACCAGTGGGTGGCTCCCAAATAGCCATTTGGGGCTCCTTACGTTGCAAGAATATGCAGCGGCGGCATTTTTTTAGATGAGGATAAGCGAGAGATAACGTCCATTTGCACTCAACTGGCTACATTTTAGTGGACAAACCAGCCAAATGCCTGCCACATGCATGAAGTGATATAAACGCAGTGGCGCGCATTCGAGCTTGCGCAGCCAATTCATGAAGTACGAGAACGCTGCGGAAGTATAGACACGCATTGTGTTTACCGCCAAATCAAGATGTAGAAAACTGGAAGGCAGTGAAGGATAAAATCAAAGCTTTATTCCACAATTAAGGGTAGCATAAGCAAATAGAAACATGCGCACTTGAGTTTTCATATGTACTATACATAACTTAAAAGTAAAACAGCAGGCGGACGATTTATAAAGCAGCTGCTCCCGCATATTGAAGATTTAACATGCAAGGGGAGGATACTTGCGCCATCATGGCTGATTGAGGAGCAGGGACACAGCCTGAAAATGAAAGAGCGTTGAGACAACAGTGCATTTGCTTGAACTAGAAGTAGCAACTGAAGTAGAAGACCCTGTTCCGATCAAAGTGGGCATGTACAATGTCGTCCTTTATGAAAGGGAACACGCGAACACGTGGCCTGCGCTCTGCGGCGGCTGCCTACAGCACCATCAAACGACAGCAAAAGGAAACACGTTCGCTTTCAGCGTCATCTGTTGCTGAGAAAAATAATAACCAGCTATGGTCGGTAGACAAGCGCTGCTACATAGCACTCTTTCTCTACTCACGCCTGCAGTGCGTAGTCCACTGCCAACATATCAAACGTGCCAAACATATCAAACGATATCACCCGATATCGCTCACGCGGCAAGCGATCAGGGAACGTAGTCTAGCAGCGCTTGTCTACCGGCCGTAACTCGTTATCTTGCTTGGCCATAGATGACGCGAAAAGCGAACATGCCTTCTTCACTTGTCGGTTGATGGTGCTGTAGGCAGCCACCGCAGAACGCAGGCCACACGTTTGCGTGTTCTTTTTCGAAAAGAACGGCAGTGTACAAAGGTTGTGGCAGCAGTAAGAAACGATAAAGAGCTGGCTGTTTTTTTTTCTTCACACTGTTTGCGCTTTAGGAAGGACATCCAGTCATGACAGCTCACTTTTTTTCAATCAAACCTTACAGCTCACGACTAGGCGGTATATCAGAAAAATATTGCGTAGCTTATGCTAGCACTTATAATCTGTAAACGCTTTCATTCGGTAATCGACAGTCCGTGACATCGCTCATAGCCAACGTCCGAAAAACCAACTGACCTGCTTAGCATTTCTTGAATACAATGTCAGGCGCGACGAGCTCCTCTTAGTGCCTGCTGCTCGGACCAACCTCAGATGAAGCGCTCGTCTCGCGGCCTTCGAGCTTGGGGCTTGAAGCAGACGGGGGCACCAAGCTCTTGTTCGCTTCGGTGTCAGATGCAGAGCGCTGCCGTAAAAAGACGTCGTCAGTGGTGGATGCCGGCAGCTGCGCACTAAATGTCACCGACTGCACCGTCAATGTTTCGGGTCGTGGCGATGCACCCAGGGCTCCTGGTGGCTCCTCCACTTCAGTATCAAATGCAGAGCGCTGCCGTAAAGAGACGTCGTCAGAAGTGGATGCCGGCAGCTCCTCAGTAAGTGTCACCGACCGCACCCTCGATGTTTCGGGTCGTGGCGATGCACCCAGGGCTCCTGGTGGCTCCTCCACTTCAGTATCAAATGCAGAGCGCTGCCGTAAAGAGACGTCGTCAGAAGTGGATGCCGGCAGCTCCTCAGTAAATGTCACCGACCGCGCCCTCGATGTTTCGGGTCGTGGCGATGCACCCAGGGCTCCTGGTGGCTCCTCCACTTCAGTATCAAATGCAGAGCGCTGCCGTAAAGAGACATCAGAAGTGGATGCCTGCAGGTGCTCACTAAATGTCACCGACCGCACCCTCGATGTTTCGGGTCGTGGCGATGAATCCGGGGCTTGTAGTGGCGCCTGCGCTTCGGCGTCCGATGCAGAGCGCTGCCGTACAGAGGCATCGTCAGATGTGGATGCCGGCAGCTCCTCAGTAAATGTCACCGACCGCGCCCTCGATGTTTCGGGTCGTGGTGATGCACCCAGGGCTTCTGGTGGCTCCTCCGCTTCAGCATCAGATGCAGAGCGCTGCCGTAAAGAGACGTCGTCAGAAGTGGATGCCGGCAGCTCCTCAGTAAATGTCACCGACCGCACCCTCGATGTTTCGGGTCGTGGTGATGCACCCAGGGCTTCTGGTGGCTCCTCCGCTCCAGCATCAGATGCAGAGCGCTGCCGTAAAGAGACATCAGAAGTGGATGCCGGCAGGTGCTCACTAAATGTCACCGACCGCACCCTCGATGTTTCGAGTCGTGGCGATGAATCCAGGGCTTGTAGTGGCGCCTGCGCTTCGGCGTCAGATGCAGAGCGCTGCCGTACAGAGGCATCGTCAGATGTGGATGCCGGCAGCTGCTCATTAAAGGTGAAGGACTGTGCCCCCGATGTTCCGGGTCGTGGCGATGGATCCATGGCAGGTAATGGGGCCTGCGCTTCTGGCACTGGTGGCGGCTGATTGAGCAGTGCTACGGCAGACGCAATAGATCGGTAGTCCGGCTGGGTGGCGGTGGCGTGTGAATGAGATGTGAGCACTGACTGCTCGTCGACAACCAACTGTGAAGGCTTGCAGCACGAGCACAGACCACCCATGGCTCTTCTATTGAAGTCTGGTTCGAATAACTAGGAAATCCTTTGAGTCGATGCTGCTGTCTTCCCACATAGGAAATCCGAGTTTTACTGAAAGGTCTTGTGCTATTTCAAAATATCAATAATCAGACTGAAGGTGCGTGCTATCTGTGATTACGTGTTATGTTGACAGTATGGAATCGCTGATCCTTCCAAAAATATGCCGACAAATCAGATGATTGGCTCACTCATGAAAATTGGTGGGAATGAACTGCAAACACACTTTTCCTTTCTTTCTTTCTTTCTTCCTCTCTTTCTTTCCTTTAAGCATAAGTATGTCGCGCTCTATCAAGACCATGCACTACGATAACAGAGAGTCAGCACTTCTCACGTTTCAAAACACCTTTTTGCGTCGAATACAAACGCTGTCGAAGAACTGGATGGAATAGTTAATAAAAAAATATTGTGTAATATCCCAACGACAAATTGTTATCTAACTTCACGCACGTAGCGTTTCAGCACCAAGGACAAGCACACACTGTATTGTGAACAGACACACTAATTTATTGAGACAATTAATGCACCCGCAAGATGGCGGTGTGACAATTTTATTTATTCCGCTGAATTTTGTCCTCTGACGGTTCCACACGTTCAAGACTGCATAGGGCGTACGACACTCTGCCTGCGTTGGTGTGTGATCGATCAAGAATCGCATCTGGTCGTATATGGCCTCACCGTAGCCAACGTTACTAGACTAGGTTACTAGACTACCTAATCTAGTAACGTCAACCGTAGCACGCCCCGGAAATTCAGCCCTGGTTTTGGTTTCAAGGAACATGCACGCTCGTAGCGGCTGCCGGGCATCTTAAGATCCGGTTTAACAGAGTGAGGTTGATCTGAATGTTATTGGCTTGCACACGTTTGTACAAATGAAAAAAATTTACACCCCTGTAAAGAACTTCTCTTTTGTTTATATGTGTTTTCTTATTACTTATTTTGTGAATTTCAAACTAGGTGAAGCACGGGAAGTTATTGACTTGAGTTCGTAGCACTTGCTTCCTCTTCTTCTTACCCCTCGATCAGCGATATTAGAAGTTAGATCCCGCTCACTTATCTCCCTCGGTTGGCGTGCATGCCAACTACGTGAAAAATAAAGAAAGCAAGTGGTGGTGGGCAGAGAACGGAAGCCGCAGTGAGCTGCGCCAAACAAGGGAACCACGCATTTGTCGAAGATGGCTTAAAGGGGCCCTGCGACACTATTTGACCACGTATTTTTCATCGTTTCTGCTCGTGCTGTATAACACGCCGATATTGTTGCTCACATAGCAACGCTGGAATTGCACGCAGTTTTAATTTTAATTCACGGGACAAACTATCTTTATTTTAGACTGCGGCGGCGCACGTCGGCTATTTTCGTGATGGGAAGTGACGTCGTGTCATGTGACGTGACGACAAACCCCGTTCGCTTTTGATTAACTTGACGCGAGAAATATCATTCACTATTCATGTGGTGGTAGCTAGGCCATACGAGTGAATGCTAAAAACAGCAAAAACCTTTTTTATACTTTCTCAAAAAGAAATCATTCCTGTTCCGTAATGACGTATTTTCGGAACAACGAACAGTTTACTTAGCCTGCGAAGGAGGCTACGTCTCAGGAATCATCGCTACACGTGTTCCGTTGCTAAATAAGGCTATCCCAAACGTGTTTCAGGGCCCCTTTAGGGCCGTTTCACACGACACAAAAAGTAGCGAAAAAAAAAAGGCGAGGTCGCTACCGCAGTCCGTGCCGAGCTTCCAACTTGCTGAAAATTTTCGCTCTGATCGCAGTGGCGATTTATGTTCGGGACCCGTCGAAATGGGGCCGGGCCAGCCAAGCTGTCGAAACTGCGTCGACGTGTTTGTTTTGACGATGGCCACTGTTGCGCATTTGAAAGTGTATTTCTTACATGACGATACACAAGTGCTCTTCGTTACCGTTCATAGAAACTTAATATTATCAACGCACAGATTGTTACATTATATTTGAAAATATTCTACAGTGTCTGCCACAACGAACGGTGGCAAGAAACCTTTTCACTCTGCGTATAGTCACAGAGCGAAAATCGCAGACCGTTCGTGGTCCTTGTGAAACGAAACCGCCATTAGCGGTGGTTGCAAAAAGAGTGATTGGAGCAAATGGATTTTTTTTCCGCTGAAATCACGGCACACGGAACAGCCTTTAATCGGGCAACGCATGTTTTCCGCGGTGTGCTAACCCAGTGCTTTCTAGTTCCGCGAAAACAGCGTTTCCTAAAGACAACTGGTGAGCACAAGAACTTAGACCCATAATTTGAGCAGCTATTGATTTTGCATGAGTACATGAGTATATCCATTCTCCGCAAGCCTGACAAAACTGAAAAAAGTGCGGCGCCGCTTGTTTATTTGGCAAAGATGGCAGCCAAGCTCCTGTCGGGAAAATGCGTTTATTGAAATGCTTGAATTTGAGTTGGCTCGGCTACAAAGTTTTAGCTTCTTTTACTTTTGGCGTGTAGTTGAAATGATTTCAAGTAATTATAGGCTAGTTCCTGCACATGCAATTTTTGTAGCCGCTGTTTGAAAATTTGTCAGTCTTCTTATACTGCCACTCAAGTACACGGGATGGACTAACTGCTTCTGAATATCATTACAGAGAATGTCAGTGGAGCCAACGTTTTGACAAATGAACTTTTCCTCGTCACGGCAAAGCTGTTGTCTTGACGAGGACAAGACAACTTGCCGAAACACTGTTTCCAGCCACGTTCTTTCTCGAAAGACTTCTGATCGCTTCAATCCTCTCCGTGCCTCTCAACTTCAGCCTTGTTTGGCACCCAAGTTCTGTAAGAAAACCACGTGCGCCGTCATAAAAAACGTGGTTGAGTCAAATAGGACGTGTCCTACTCGCGATTGTTGATAATTTTCACATAGGTTCGGATATTCGGATTTCGCATTGGTTCGGCACATTATGTCCGTATATGTCAGTTGTAAGTTAAAGCTTATTTATAGATTGACACTTTCACACTACGTGTATGTGTTGTTTTATACAAAACGTGTAATAAGAATGTTCATTTTATTTGTGCCAATCGAGTTTCTGTTCTTCTGAGACATCAGGCAGCTTGACTTTCGCCCCTTCAGAACACATGAGCAAAACTTGGAAAGAAAGATTATAAAACCTTTACGAATGACCGCATCGCCCAAGCGCCCAGCCGCGGACCTGAAAGGAGTCACGAGCGTCTTCCGCTTGTATGCGAAGTGGGAAAGGAGGGCTTCCACGGCAAGCCTCCTCCTCTTGATTTTCTGTCCTTTCTCTCTATTTGGTTACCTCACCAGTGACGTCATGAAAGAAATTGTCTGTTCTTTAGTTAGTTCTAGTAAGATGCCCGGCAACTGCCAGTGGTGAAAGCGGCGCAGCCGCTGCGAATCATTGATTGATTGATTTGTGGGGTTTAACGTCCCAAAACCACCATGCGCCATGGTGCATGGTGCGTATATGCGCCATGGTGCATAGGAGGGCGCAGAGTGCGTCAAAAAGTAGATGTTTGCAGAAACATGCAAAACAATTTGTTAAGTGTTGTTTAGGAGTGTTGTATAGCATACCGCTAACATGCGGTCGCATGTACATCGGCCAGACCGGGCAATGTTTGAATATACGCCTCAGGGAGCATTGGAGTTGAAAGGTAGTCCATTTTTCGTGTTAGCTTCATATTGGAATTCCTGCAAATGTCATCCATTGTTTAAAAAAAAAAACAAGTGTACTGTTCCGGCATCGGCTTCAAACCACGCGTGAAATTTCCGAAGCATATCACATTTCTAGAAATAAGAATCAAGGTATCAGCCATCCGTCATAATCACTACTTGACTGTGAGTTTAAATATATTGATAATTCGAAGACAAGTGCTTCGAATGAACGCCACGCTTGCTGCTCGCACCATTATCCTATTTTCCTGTTGACATGCGCACCCTTGTGTGCTTATATGTCCTTCGAACGTGAGAATAAACCAGTTGTTAGTTGAGCGCTCGTGCTGTGTGCCTCCTCTTTGCTTTGCGTCTGTGTTTAACCCCGCGCTCCCAGTTCACTGAACCATCATGATATGTGGGGTTTAATGCCCTAAAACCACCATATGAATATGAGAGACGCCGTAGTGGAGGACTCCGGAAATTTCGACCACCTGGGGTTCTCTAATGTGCACCCAAATCTGAGCACACGGGCCTACAACATTTCCGCCTCCAACGCAAATGCAGCCACTGCAGCCGAGATTCGATCCCGTGACCTGCGGGTCAGCAGCCGTGTAGATTGGCCACTAGACCACCGCGGCGGGGCATAAGACTAGGACAACAAGGAAGAGAAACTGGACGCATGGGCGTGTTCGCCAGTGCTAAGATACTGCTTTTTCACAAAAAAAGTATGTAGAAGTGAAGGCAGCAAAGACGGGTGACTGGGAGGCTCATAACAATGGGAGAGAACACGATAATTAGGCGGAATCGCGCCACTAAGAAGAAGCTGCACACCTCGGCTTCGGTGGCGGCAAACAATGTGCTCAGCGGCCACCGGAGAATAGAATGCGCATGCATGGTCAAGTTACATGGGTCGCGAAACTTAGAACGAAAAGTGGTGAAAATCTATTGCGTGCATCAACGCCCGCCGCCGACGAAGTGAGGAGGGGAAAATAACCAAAACTAAAAGCTCAATATACTTTTCTTTGTCATATATATGTCAAAGTTAACTATAAATATACTTTACGGTTTATCTTACACCTGGATAAACGGTTGATTACCTCAATTTTCAATCGAGTGAAATAAATGTGGGGGCGTATCCAAGCATTCTACTATTGGAACTTGTGTTAAGTTCGGCGCATGGGCGAGTCAACGAGGCATCGCTCACTTTTGCGTGGTGGTTTCGTGCGTACCTATCATAGTTATTTTGTTTGCTTATGTGTTGTTCACTGGTGTGACATTTCCGAGCTGAATCAGCTCACAGAATGGGCAGATAGCCGCTCCTGTTACTGCC